CTCTCCCGCACCGAAGGTAAGGGAAGAAAAAAAAAAAACATAGCGCAAGCATCGGGGGATTTTGACAAGTACAAGTACTTGTCAAAATGCCCTGTTTTTTCCGCCCTCACCCTGCAGCGCCCTCAAGCGGGCGCCTGACTTGCCTTGCGGTAGCGCCGGGCCTGCACCTACACAGCTGATACTGCACCACTGAAGGTGTGCTGGCAATGGGTCAACTTAATGAACTTAATGCATATCTAAACCTAAAAAAAATGTTTTAATATGTTGCAGCTTACCATCCCTTAAATGTGGTGGCTGCATTTTTTTTAAAAGACTTTTTTTTGCATTTATATGCACCTGGTAATCCTGGGAATGCGACACATCCTGCCCAAGGGTGTCTTCACTCACTTACTATATTGTATTTATGGAGGGACGGGGGTACACATTGTTATCACCTTGGCTGGACTTCAAACATGTCTACCTTTGTTCAGCTCCATTAAATGGGGAGTGATGGGACTAATCTAGTGGCTGAAACAGCAAACTGCAGGGATGGAGCTGCGGGGACACCTCCCCCATGCTCTTCTTCTCCCTGGCTCATGGGAAATAACACAAAAGAGATCTTCAGCAGTGCTTCAGTAACTGGACAAGCTAAGATCGGTTGTTGAAATGCTGCAGATCTCCTTTGTGTCGTTCCGCATGAGCCAGGGAGAAGAAGAAATGGAGGCAGCAGCGTGGAGGGGAGGCGGGGACAGAGCTGTGAGGAAGGAGCTGCTGCGCCTGCGTGGGTATTCATGAAAGCACAGTGGCTCCTACAAGGCGCTGTCACTCAATGGGAGGAGAGAAGACTGAGAAGGATTCTGACCCACAATATCTTATATTGAATTGCAAGCTTATGGTGGATTTTTGATTACACAAGTACATTGCAAAATGTACTGTGAAGAAAACATAGGAAACCGTGCGCCGGTTTCCTATGTTTTCTTCACAGTACATTTTGCAATAAAAAAGAAGTCATCAACTTGCGCAAATAGATCGATAGTTTATGGACTATACAGGTGAAACTCGAATAATAGAATATCGTGCAAAGTTCATTTATTTCACTAATGCAACTTAAAAGGTGAAACTAATATATGAGATAGACTCATTACATGCAAAGCAAGATAATTCAAGCCGTGATTTGTCATAATTGTGATGATTATGGCTTACAGCTCATGAAAACCCCACAACCACAAATCCACAACCTCAAAAAAGTAGATTATTACATGCAATCAATAAAACAAGGATTGTACATAGAACAATATCTGACCTCTGAAAAGTACAAGCATGCATATGTACTCAGTAATTGGTTTGGGCCCCTTTTGCAGCACTTACTGCAATTACTTTTGCACGATATTCTATTATTCGAGTTTCACCTGTATAGTCCATAAACTATCGATCTATTTGCGCAAGTTGATGACTTCTTTTTTATTGCAAAATGTACTCCTGTATCATTAGGAAACTAAAAATACCAAAAAGGTGTACCCTATAGTTCTTCTTTAAAGTAGAGGGCAATCAGAGTGGTTGGTGAATTAGCACCCAAGGATAGGTAGATGACTAGTGGTAATAAAGGCACAGTGTAGGAGTAGCAAGATACTGGCATATACACAATAATCTGGCAAACAGGAAGTGAGAGGCATTATTATTATTATACAGGATTTATATAGCGCCAACAGTTTGCGCAGCGCTTTACAATATGAGGAAGACATTACAATCACAATACAATTCAAGACAAGATGGTAAGGAGGGCCCTGCCCCTGTGGGCTTACAATCTAAAAGGGAGGGAGAAGTGATACATGAGGAGGTCGTTGTGTGGGGATGAATTGTTTGAGAACATGATGATTGAGTGGTTAGGTTGACGTGGGATAGGCTTTCCTGAAGAGATGAGTCTTAAGGGATCGCCTAAAGGCAGTCAAGGTGGGTGATAGACAGATAGGTTGGGGTAAAGAGTTCCAGAGGATGGGCGAGACTCTAGAGAAGTCTTGGAGGCGAGTATGGGAGGAGTTGACAAGGGAGCTGGAAAGCAGGAGGTCCTGGGATGAGCAGAGTGGACGATTAGGGTGATATTTTGAGACAAGGTTTGAGATATATCTGGGGGCAGAGTTGTGGATGGCTTTATAAGTGACTGTTAATATTTTGAATTTTATCCAGTGATTCTGGGTTTGTATCCGAATCCTGTGAATAATATTGCTTTTGCTTCCAGTTCATCTCAGAAGAAGTGACAAGGACACTGTGATTCTGGCAAGGTCAATAGGTACTATCTGTACTTGCTAAAAATGTTCTTAGCCTGAAAAATGAAAGCTAATGCAGACAACACAGTTAAGGAAGTTGTGCTGACTTCCATCACCCAATCATGTGCAAGCAAAAATCCTGTTTTTTATCCTTCATTTTCCTTGCACATGATTGGGGTCTTTTTTTGGAAAGTCAATTTTCACTTAGAGAAGTGAACATTTTCCTTGAAATTGAAAATGCTCTACTGCTTAAGTAAATCAACCCCACAGATTTCTCAAAGAAGCTCCCCTTTCTCAAGGGAAGATGGACAGCAAGCCTTGTCTACTTAGTCTAACCGTACCATTAGTCATAAATGCCTGAACTTTCTGTATAGAATAAAATGTAAAATGACTGATAGAACTGAAAGCAAAAAAAATTGCACAATAAGGACCTCCTGCTGTGTGACGACAAGAGGACAAAATGAGGAAGTGAAAATAAATATTAAAAAATGACTAAAATAAAAATATGATTTAATATTTTTGCTTTTCTGAAGTTTTGCAATTGCTTTCCTTATTTTAATCAGCTATGTTAGCAAATTCACCCACTGCATTATGCACTAAGCCTTACACTATTGCACTATTGTATCTGCATAATGTAAATTTAATTTCCCCTGATTGATAAAATGTACATGGCTCAAGATTCCTTCCAAGAGTGAATTCAAACTAACAGTAGTATTAAACTCTCAAACTTTTTCAACAATTAATTAAACAAATATACATTGCCCAGCAAAGTATTTCTTTACATGTTTTGCCCAAACACTTAAGGTGGCCATACACTTTACAACCATCGCAAGACCTTAGTCTTGCGATGGTTGTAAAGTAATTAAAAAAAACGTACGATCAGCCCATCTTGGACAGGCAGTTCGTACTTGCTCAGGGGGCGGGCTTCCGACGACAGCAATGCTAAACGGGTAGTGTGCGCGTGCGCACACCGGCCCGTGCGGCATTGATCTTACGATCATGCTAAAAACCAGCCGAAAATCGTACGATTCTCGGCTGGTTTTCTAGCATGCTCCTTAGACAAAAGACGTGCGACCGTACAGTAGAAATGGTCGCACGTCTTCATTCACACTGCACGATTCTCGTACGATCGCGGGATTTCCACCGAGATTCTCGTACGAGAATCGTGCAGTGTATGGGCACCTTTAGAGTCATCATGTTTCTAAACAACTGGCTCCCACTCTTTCAGCTCGGCTTCCCTGAACTTCCTGTCCAGTACAAGACCACAAGGGACAGAGAAGAATACAGTAGCTGTCTACCTACTAGCTTGGAGAACAAAGTAGGGAGGAAGTAGGAGCAGGGGGGAGAGGAGTTCTTGCTGTGCCTGTGGAGAAACACACACAGCTTACTGGCACAGAAAAGGATGGCTCCATAGGACCCTGCAAAGAATAGTAGCCACCCTAAATGAGCATATCAGGGCCAGTGCTCAGGGGAGCAGCTGATCTTGCAGGAAGCTAAAATCAATGTACAGTAAGTCCAATGTAGGTGACTTAATCAGCATTTGAAATAGTTTAAAAACCTTTTGGCTTTAATATCACTTTAAATAAATTTCTATTTATGTCCTAGCTACAGAAAAGTCAACAGTGATATTTTTATTACTGACAGATGCTGCTGGGGTGAGTCACCCTTCTAACATCTCATATCTTTTGAGAACTCTAGTAGGGTGATGTATTTGCAGAGATCTTGGTTTTGAACCCTACAGCAATGAAGTGTCAAATATATTGTTGCAGCAAGAGGAGTTTCAGTCCTCATTTCTTATTCCAATATAACAGAAATAAAATTGCTATAGGGAAAGGAAAGTTAGATCCATTATAATGACCACAGCAGTTGTATGGAACTGGACAAAAAAACTAAAATGTTGTATTCTCTATCTGGAATTGGTCCAGCTATAACACATTCACTTGTGTGTATACATTTCAGCTTTAGCTATTGCGCTTTGTAAGCAACGTGTTTTTCAAAAAAACAGATAAGAAGACCCAAGGAAATGAGAAATAGAGCTATAAGCTCAATTTGCAAGATAAAAAATATTTATATGTAATATTTCACATTTACCTAACAATATAAAATGTGTATGTATATGTGTGTGTGTGTGTGTGTGTGTGTGTGTATAAACATCCACCACATTTTCCTTTAAGTTTTTAGTTGCAGCATACCAATTATCATTGATACTGAAGACAAATTTGAAACAAAGTTATTGATGGTTTCATGTCAGGGCCAGCCTTTGGGGTGTGCGAGCTGTGTGGCCGCATAAGGTGCCATGGCAACAGGGGTGCCAGGCGGCTGACAGCTCACTATGACACAAGCTGCAGGTAGGGCCAGATTCCCCACAAGGCCACCGAGGCCATGGCCTCGGGGCGGCAGGGAGTAGAGGGGCGGCACAGCCTGCAGCTTCTGCTTGTATGGGCAGAGGCAGCGGGAATCCGAGGAGAAATGGAGCCTTGAAGCCGGCGGAGGGGGCGCAGTAGGGAGTGCTGTCATCAGGATGGACGAGCAGGGAGAAGCCGCCGGTTGTCAAATCCAAGATGGCCGATCTGCCCTGTGCGTGACCGAGCGACTCCTGTCACTTTTAGGATGTCTGAGCGGAAGATTGGTAAATATGTGTAATGTTTACCAATCCCCTGTGTGCAGCACAAACACTGGAGTGATTGCTGATCACTCCAATGTTTGTAAAGAACTGGGGACAAAACAGTTGTTTCCCCAGTTATGAATGAACAGGAAGTGCTTTACATCACTTCCTGTTCATTCATGAGTTTCCACATGGGTAGAAGCAGATCAGTACAGGGGCTTTTATCTATTCATAACTGGTTGATAGTAAATATTTGTTATCTACAGTTTGCGACTGAATGGGAAGCCTCTGTACTGCTGTCCATTAATTCAGTGCTGAGGCTGCAGAAAAAGAGATTGAGGACTGTGTGTCCTCAATGTATATTTATATTTCAAAAGGGAAATGTCAGGGGTCTGTTTAAAAAAAATGATAAACAAAAAAATAATTTGAAAAAACACAACCCCCCCACCACACACACACACACACACACACACACACACACAACATTGTGCACCATGCACTTTGTTTGAGTAAACAGTATACACTATTTAACATGTAGTCTAGGTTTTGTGTTGTTTTTTGTTTTTACTTTTCTAGATGCACTTACTTGAAAAAAGGGTCTGCATGACATCCTGGCCCTTTTTTTTATAGATTCTATTTTAGTTTGACATTTATTGTATACCACTTGTTTGGCTACTGTTGTTTTATTTAATAAGAATACTTATATTGTGCTTACAGGTTTAATACCTTTGAAATGTTTTTTTATTTTTATCATACTTTTTAATCTGTGTTTCTAGGGCTTAACAAAATGGGAGGCTTTAAATGGTGCCGGTATTGGAGAAATGGGTGTGGCCACTGAGGGGTGTGGTTACTGAGGGGTGTGGTCACTGTAAAGCTTTCTCGCACAGGGCGCCTTAAGGCCAGCCCTGATCCTTGTTACTAGCCCCGAGAAGAATTCAGAAGTATGACAGAGCTGTTAATAGCTTGCATGGAAGTTGTGGTTTTCCTGCACTTGAGACAAATAGAAGATCAAACTTTACTGCAATTCCTGGAATCTAAATTAAGTATTTTCATTTTAACATTTCCACTTAAAACATTGCTGTTCTTTTTGTTTTAGGTACTAAGGATTCCAGCAATAGCTGTGAGATGACTCCTGTGACAGACGCAGTATGTTAATCAATTTTAATAAGCACACTGTGCTATGTAGTAAAGCAGAAGTGTAAAAATAAAGACATTTTAATATATATATATTGCATAATCCTAATTTACAGGAAAATGAGGACACTTTAGTTTACCATCAAATTGCATTTTCTAATGGGAACAGGAAGCCAAGGGAGAGGAATCCGGAGGATGAAGTCACTTATGCTCAAGTTAAGGTAATTTCACATAATGTATAATATATAGCAGTATTAATGTTCAATGTTAGGATGTAGATATATCCTAGAATTAAGGAACAAGACAGTTGAAAAACTATACAGTGAAAGAAGGGAATTGAGAACTCATGTCAGGATTGGCTCTTAATTGTCTGAACTGACATGCATTGTGCTACAGAGGCAAAATGCACATAAAAAATCCACTGCTTTCCATGTGATCTGCATAACAGCAGCTTGGGGATAATCCATGTTGCACTTTTGGCAGGTTTCTCCTGAGTTTTCCCATACAAGTTAAATGGGATGCTTAAAAAATGCAGTGCACTAAACGAATGGCAATACAGGCTTTCCTAGGTATTTCAGTAGTGATGGTCAATATGGTAAATGTCTGGGACCTCAAATTTGGCCCCTTACATGTCTAAAGCACAATAGTTTAGTGCATTTGGGATTAAAAAAACGAATATTACCCAAAGCATCCAACGTATTTTTAGGGACCTGGGGATTAATAAGAGTGGATAATTATACTTGATTTATTTAGATTTAATTTGCTAAATTTGATTTAATTATTTTTTAAATTTATTTTCGCATTTTGTTCTTCATTATGGGGTCTGGATCACAAGTGTTAGATCTGACCCAGCCCCTCTTCCCCCATGCACCTCTGAAGCAAAAGAACACTGTTATCAGCATGCAATATTGCAGTGATCTGTTGCTCCGGGGATAGTCAGCTTTCCCCCTTCCAAACATACATTCTGGAGTGAAAGCAAATACCTGTGACATCACATTCAATGTCACAGCACTTCTCATTTAACACAATGCTAAAGAATTGTACTGAACTGTGTTGCTATGAAGTGCACAGTAGCAATCCCAGGAGCTGATGGTTTCAGCACTAACACCCTGTACACACCTTGGTGTACCAGGAACGTGTGTTGTGTTTGCGCTCGGTTTTTCCCCCACTTTTGCCATGCATACCCATTGAATTTAATGGGTGCTGCAGGCACAAAAGCAGCTCATGTAGAAGATTCTGGGCTACCCCAGCATTTCAAGGGTTACGTGCTTGTTTATGTCTAGGTGCTAAGGAAAAATGTATACTCACCAGACCATCCAAACTGGCTTGTTCTTAGACCGGTGTCTGGAACATCTCCCCCCCCACTGCTGCAGTGGTCTAAGGATCCTGGTGTCATCATTCTCTATACACTGTGCATAGATGTGAGGATGCTGAGGAGCAGTACATCTGTGCAGCAGAGTAGCAGACATGCTTCAGTGATCACAGAAGCAGGGAGCCACCTAAGATGAGTGCGTATAGAAAACAGATGACATCAAGCTATGGAATACAGTAATTACTGGACTTCTCCAACTTACAAGCAGATCTGAATGCACCGTGTGATTGGGCATCTATTTGGCAAATTAGGTTTAATGTTGATAAATGTAAAGTTATGCACTTGGGCAATAAAAACATGCATGGGTCATACACTCTAGGGGAAGTATGTTTGGGGAAGTCAATGATGGAGAAAGATCTGACTGTTCTGGTAGATCATAGGCTAAATAATAGCATGCAATGTCAAGCAGCAGTTTCTAAAGCAAGCACACTACTTGCTTGTATTAAAAGGGGTATAGACTCCAGAGAGAGAGACATCATCCTGCCCCTGTACAAAGCATTAGTAAGACCTCATCTGGAATATGCAGTTCAGTTTTGGGCACCAGTTCACAAAAAGGATGTTGTGGAACTGGAGAAAGTGCAGAGAAGGGCAACTAAGCTCATAAGAGACATGGAGGAGCTCAGCTATGAGTAAAGATTATCTGACCTGAATTTGTTCTCTATGCAGAGGAGGCGATTAAGGAGGGACATGATCACTATGTATAAATACATAAATGGTCCATATAGTGAGCTGGTGCCAAATTGTTCACTTTAAGGTCACTGCAAAGGATGAGGGGGCACTCTTTGCGTCTGGAGGAAAAGAGGTTTAATCTTTGCATACAGAAAGGATTCTTTACAGTTAGGGCTGTGAAAATGTGGACTAGACTCCCCCTAGTTAACTGTTTGAAAAGAAAATCTGGATGCATTCCAAAATGCACAGAATATTACTGGATATTGAGTTCTTGTAAGTATATTGAGTACCAGAGGTTGATGATCAAGGAAATATTGGATTGCCTTATGGGATCAGGAAGGAATTTTGTTTTTCCTGTTGGAGCAAATTGAAAAATGCTTTACAGGGGTTTTTGGGCCTTCCTATGGATCAGTGGTGGGTAACCACGGTGGGTTTTTTCTCTTATCTCTATAGGTTGAACTTGATGAACTTGTGTCTTTTTTCCACCTATGTAACTATATACAGTAACAGAAAAAGCTTTTTGAATGAAAGACAGCACTGCGTTAACAATTAATGTACAAATGTACATTCCCTAGAATTAATATCTCAGACAGGAACCCTGTTACATGCAAACCATACTTAAATATATAGGCCTAGTATGATCATATTTGAGAAGCTGGATAACCTTTTTCATCATATTAATGCATCTCATTCCTGTACAAACCTTCAAAAAGTCCTTTTTGTTTGAGATTGTCCAATGTTTTCTTTCTTGGTAGCAGTGAGGCTTCCAAAGGGATTCAGGGGGGCACAGGATGGGTAGCTCAGAAGCATAATTTATTGTGTTCACTTAAAGAAAATTACAATTGTAAAGTGAAATGTATTATTAAAGCCAAACTCTGGAAAAAAATTATAATTTACACACTGCGCTGGGTGTGTAAAGTATTAAAAAGCTGTGTGTTATGCGTAGAGGCCTGCTGCAAAGTTCAGTCTCCTGCATATAACACCAAGCCTCCGGGCACTGGAGGGGAGTGAGGGATACATCTCGAGCAGTGAAGTGCTTCAGCTGCATCACCCGCCCCTACTCACTACTACCATTTACAAAATGCCAAGAATAAAAGGTGTTCTGTGAGGAGGAGGAGAGATGGCGTCACAACCCCGCACCCTCCTTTCCTCCTCCAATAACAAAACACCTTGCATTCTTTGAGAACAAAACTAGGCATTTTGTGAATAGGGAAATAATAAGGAGCAGTGGGTGATGCAGCCGGAACACTTCACTGCTCAAGTCACATCCCTCACGCCCCACAGGGATCAGAAGACTGGCATTATTGTGCACGCTGTAAGTTAAGATTTTTATACTGTACAGCAGTCCTTCACACAGTGCGGTATATTAATTATAATTTTTTCCCCCAGCTTTTGGCTTTAAGTGTGTATACTTTTACACTTGAGGGTCTATTTATCAATGTTTTTACCCCAAGATTAATCCATTTTCTACCTGAATCTTATGTGAAAATGGGTGAAAGTTGTGTGTTGGGTGAAAAAATTGATAAATTAATCCCTTAGACAAAACAAAATATGCTAAAAATGAACATGCTATTATATTTGTATTTTTATGCAGATCTCTTCACATCAGGATGATGGGATTATTTATGCAGATGTGGCATGTAATAAGAGAAGAAATGAGGCAGATAATGCTCCCAAAGGCTCTGACGCTCAAACTACATATGCTGAGATCAAGCCCATTTCACGGCAGCCGCAACCACAAGATGGCAACACCGAGTTATACGCAGCCGTGGTCAAGAAAAAGACTGGAAATACGAAAGCAGCCTGACAGAGCAAAATACCCAGCAAAATCAATAAGATAATTTTCCAACACTTTGGCATCAATAAACGTATAATGCCAACCCCTGGTGCTTGGAAAATATGCTTTTAGCCTTTGGTGTTCCTAAATAATTAATACAAACTCTTGGTGTCTTTGAAGCTATATGCCAACATTTCAGTGGACATTTTAATAAAGCAATCCTCCAAGAAGGTCCCTGTGCTACCTAAGGAGATGGTGTGAATACAGTTGCTACAGGTTCTGTCCAGTATGGCAGCTGGAGCATGAGATCTGCATTATGGACTGTGTTATCTTCTCCCTAGCAGCCTGTCCTCATTATAAAATAAC